CGTTGCCAAATGCCCAAATCCATCACCAGAAAATAAAATTTTGGCAGAGGGCATTGAAGAAACAAACAGAGGGCTTGGTTCCAAGAACCCTCCTTCATCAACAGATCCCCCTATTGATCAGCAAACTGTTTGGTATGAATATGGCTGTGTGTGACTCCACGGTTCCACTTTGCCAAGGATTGTATAAAATGTGTTTCACTACTGAAAATTGGGTGACACTGGGAGATTTGCTAAATACTGTTGTCTTAATTATCTTCTGGATGCTTTACACCTCAGTAGAAACATGTATTGGCATACTTGAGGTTCAAAACTGTAACAGATCCGATGTCTAAAAGAGATTCAACCATTTCTTCTTCTTTCTCTTCTTCAATTCAGGGTCATATTTCTCAGAGTCTGGAGTGCTTAACATTTGGTCCTCTTGTGCCTTTTGCAGGCCTTTTTCTTTTACTATTTGGGAAATTGTATCTGTGTGTTTGTCTACTGAGCTCAAATCTTAGTTTACGCACAATTGCCTGTTATTTTTAAATATTTTTACGATTCTAAAACATTCTTTTGGATGTTAAAAGCAGCATAATGCAAGTGTGTTGTCTTTGCACTGGTAGTTATTACCATTTAGAGACTTTTTAAAATATCCTGGCTTCTTTGCTGCACTTAACACTAATGTGCAGTACAGATGCTGCCGTTTTATATGTGTGTAATATTTTTTATTGAAAACACTGGAAATAATGTGCCCTTATTGAGGGGCATGGTCTCCTTTAAATGACAACTGTTCGTGCACTGGACTGATCTGTTTACCATTCCATGCATTCATCGCTTAATGGCCCCATTGGTTGCCTAGAGAATCTCCTCTGCAGCCAGTCTGCCCTCCTAATGTGTACAGTTCTTTTGTCTAAAATATACATAGGAGCTCTTTTAAAATGATGTCCATGGATATTGGAATGCTGAAGCTGACAAGCTATCTCAATAAACAATTGCAAGTTCAGGCCTTGTTCTAATTCGGTCAGCCTGATCTGTGTAGAAACGAGGTTCCATTTATATAAATATTTTTATGAAATCATATTTATATCCAGATTAAATATTTTATTGTATGGATTTCATTGACTCCTTGTGCATATCTCCTGTTCTATTGTTTGGTTATAAAGAGATCCTTTCTAACAGATTGACATAATCATAAAACTTTTCCGGATGTGTGATTTATGATAGAAAAAACTGAATCTGTAACAGATCTCACACAACCAGTGATTAGAGTGTATCATAGTTTGTAGCAGTCACATTGTGAGAAGAGCAAATTTGTAATAAAGACTTTTTAAAATACAAATATCTGTCAAAACTGTCACTTTCTCCCAGAAAAAGCATTGCTCCAAAATGTAGGCTGCCACAATGCACACCCTTTGTAGCAAAGCTTTAATATGTGTGAGTGCGCAGGGGTGATACCACCTTCTTGTAACTTCAGAGTATGATTCTCCATCCTAATATTTATAGAAGTGCTTGAGTTTACTTCCATAGTACAGCAAAACCTTCTAAATGCATTTCATAAATATCTAACATTGTACACATTTTTCCAACATAGACAAAGACAATGTTTGCTTGGTTAATTCTGAAATCAGTTATAATCTCAACACATGTGGAAGCAGCCATGTTGGGGAAAACAAGGTGTTTGTAACTTGTTTGTAACAAAGTTCTGTAAACATTTATTGACAGATTCTTAATGCAAGCTCTGAATTCTCTTTGAGGTGATGGATGGTCAAGAGAAAAACCTGAGTTATATTTAATGGAATGAATGCAATACTGTGTATTTTGGTGGAGATTATCTATCCAGCTTATATGGAAATGGTTTTGTGAATGCATGATAAATCTTGATACAATCCTTCATAGAGTTGGGCCCACTGACTCCCATGAGCACATCTCTAAATCCTTCACTTAAAACATTACTACATCTTTCACAACACTATTAGGAAGAAATACAGCAGTAATGCTGCCACCAGCCACTTCCCTGGAGACATTTCTCACTTTTTGGTTTACTCTGGAGGTTGCAAGCAGCAATTTTCCTTTCATCAGTAACTTGCCCATAGAAGAGAAATGTGGTTAGCATCAGGAATTCAAGTATTTATTATGTATATCAAGATTAAAGAAGTACAAGAAAGTTAAAAAGGCACACAAATAACAAAAAGACGTGAACAAAAAATATAGGAAAAGGTTGAGATTGTAATACAGAAGATGATGAAAAAAGCCAATGCATTCCTAGATTGCATCAATCAAAGACTATTGCCAAGAGAAGTAACTGTTCATTTACTGCATTGGTTATGTACCTTGAATGGTTATGTAAAGCCAGCAATGGACACCACATTTTAGGAAGGGCTTTATTAAATTAGAATGTGACTAGAGGGGGCAACCAAGATAATAAGGCACCTGGAAGGAAAAATATACCAAGAACAATTAGAGGCAATAGGTTTGCTTAGTTTGGAAAAGAGAAGAAGACATGGAAATATATTTGATGATAAACTGTATATTACCATATCATAGAAAGTAGTAGTTCCACTCTGTTCTGCTAGACTGATTTAATCTCAGTTTCTGTGTCCAGTTCTGGGCAACATATCTTTAAAACAATTTTTTGAAAGAGATTAGCAAACTGAATTTATGTTTAGCTTTGAGGAAGAAAAAAAACCCAACTGAGATCAGGTGTAATAACACTTCCATATATGTGTGTGCCAGCACCTCTTCTCTGTTATCCCAGAGTGCAAGACATGGAATTAACCTACAGAAAGGCATATTGTAGAAAAGCTGTTTGACAGTGAAACTAGGGGCTAAGCGATAATGCACAGACATTCACTGGAGATGCTTGAGTTTGGATTTGTAAGCTGATTGAGGAGTTACACTCATTCCTAAATGTCAACTTTCTATATTATGATTCTCCAAGATATGCTATGTATGTCATACCCTTCCACAAATGCAGGTCTGCTCCAAAAGGAGCCACCGATAGAAGGGAGGTCAACAATAGAATATGGAAAGAGCTTCTAGTTGTGTTTGTCATCTATCCTATGAATCCATCTGTCCTGACTTTGCATTGTTGATTAACATTGGTTAAAAACTGAGGGGGCAATAGGCAGACTTTCCTCTCTAAATTAAATTTAAAAATTATGATTCTAATGTTACTTAAAATACCACATTGGAATATCAGACATAAAGACTTGGAGAAAAGAACAGTTGCTTTAAAATAGCCTATCTTTCATTAGTATTTTCAACAAACATAAAAAAACACAATACTGTAGTTTTATTCTGACATTTCCAAAGTTAAAGGGGGGGAGGGGAATTTCAAATTGGGTATGTAAGTTGAGACAGTTCTATTGGGTGAGACCTGGCTTAAAAACAGTAACTGTGAGAGGGACCTTGGAGTCCTAGTGGAAGATCACTTGACTATGAGCCAGCAGGGTGCAGCAGCAACTAAAAAAGCTAATACAATCCTGGGTTGTATAAACAGAAGCATAGAATCAAGATCACGCGAAGTATTAGTACCACTTTATAAAACCCTAGTAAGATGCCACCTGGAATACTGCAGCCAATTTTGGTCACCATATCACAAAAAAGATGTTGAGAGTTTGGAAAAAATTCAGAGAAGAGCAACTAAGATGATTAACGGCCTGGAGACTAAAACATACAAAGAATGGCTGCAGGACTTGGGTTGGCTAGTCTAAAGAAAAAAAGAAATAGGGGAGACATGATAGCAGTATTCCAGTATTTGAGGGGCTGCCACAAGGAAGAGGGGATCACTTTGCTCAGCAGATCACCAGAGGGCAGGACAAGAAACAATGGTTGGAAACTGATCAAAGAGAGAAGCAAGCAACCTGGAATTAAGAAGAAATTTCCTGACAATGAAGACAACCAGTGGAACAGTTTGCCTCCAGAAATCGTGGGCACTCCCTCACTGGAGATTTTAAAGAAGAGATTAGACAATCACCTTTCTGAGATGGCATAGGTTCCCCTGCTTGACCAGGGGGCTGGACTAGAAGACCTCCAAGGTCCCTTCCAGCTCTATTCTATTCTATTCTATTCTATTCTATTCTCTATTCTCTTATTCATATTATGTTTTTCCTCATGACTTTTCAAATGTAAGGATTGTTATTTTTCCTGCCACCTGACAATTTTGAACCTTATATTAAATTATTATCAATTGTTGCAATATTAAGCAAGCCTACTGCTTCTTAAATGAAACTCTGAACAGTGAAATCCCTCAAAAATAAAGTGCAGAAAATACATAGTGAATTGTCCCCTAACATAATTATGCATACATACATGCCTGTAACTTTAGGATAATACCTTGTCAAATACATAAATGAAGTGAAATCCACAACAGGTTATGATGTTTTATTTATATAAATTATGCATCTCAGTACAGTGGGTGCAAATGTGTCTTCATTCCTTGCTCAGCCAGTACAATCTATAGAATGGAGCCAGGTATGTGAGGAACATTTTGGAGGCATTTCCTTAAAATCAAGGAGAGGGGATTCCAGAGAATACCAATTGTGGGGAAAATAGGAGGAGGGAGGTTTGTGGGATATGTTTGCCCCCTTGAGGTATTTGTAAAAATAATAAAGGTGGAATACAAACAAGCATAGTTAAACAGGGCAATCTGTAAATGCCGAGATCTATACTGTAATGAGGTGGGAAGAAATGCTGTGAGAAGGGTGTCTTTGTGGAATAAGAGTGTCAAACAAATGATTTGCTTTTTGGCCTTTCTGGACCATTAAGAGGTCCTCAGATGATGGCTAAAGGGAATGCTGAGAAGCATCTGGTGGAGTTACCTCCAATTCATCTGAGCTGGGCAGGGCTGTGGTGTGGTACTGACAAACAAAGCAGCTGATCTGCTGCTGCTGCTGCTCCTCCTCCTGATCAGTCTCTGACAGCTCTACTTTGGGAGGAGGTTAGTCAGACAAGCCTCACTTAAACTCCGATGCAGAAGCTCCATTTCACAGGCATGAGAACTGTCACCATTCCCAGGGAATTCGGCGCTTTTCTCTAGGTGAGCATCAACTCATTTTAAGAAATAGGTGTGAAAACCAGCCAGCAGCAGCAGCAGCAGCTCAATGCTCTGTAGATGTGGGTCTCCCTAAATAGTGACATCTTGATTTCTGAACTTCTTTTAAGAAGTTGGAAATGGCTGGGATTAAATAGTGTACTGATAAATATGCTCCTGACCCCTAAAACATCAAACAGAGCTTCTTTTGAAATAACTCGGCTGGGTTTGTGTTCCTTATTTGAACTGAAATGGTGGGCAGCCAAAGTGTGGAAATGGATGAATACTGTAAGTGGACAACTTTATCCACGCATGCCAAAAGATGGAACTTTATGGATATCTACCTGGACAGATTCCTGTTAAACTGAATGAAGCTTTGAATAGACATTGATGGGAGTATGCTATAAAATCCTTATTTAGAAGAGGAGCTACCTGGGGTTTTATATTCAGAGGCAAACACACATATTCCTAATGCTGCAATCATGGTTTGCACTCAGAGGAAAGTGGGCCTTTTAAGTGTTACTTTTTGAGTTTTGATTGTTTTGTATTTGATTTCATGTAATTGGAACTTTATATTGTTCATTTTTGGGGTTTTTAAAAATATGCTGCCTTGAACGCTCAGATTGAACAGAATGACAGGATGCTAAGTGACTAAGCGAGTGAGCAAGATGTCTGGTGTGTTAGAATTTCGGAATTCAAGGGAAACTGAGTTACTTTGGAAAAATGTGCTCAGACCTTTGTCAAACCTTAGGAGAAACATCAGAAGTTGTACAGCTACTGGGCCACATTCCCCAGCATGCCAACCAGAGCCACTGATAGAGCAACAGAAGAAGACACAGTTGGTAGAGCCTTAAGGAAACCGAAACCTATTTCTCCACCCAATGAAAGATCAAGCATTGTTAGGAAGTCAATTTTGACTTAATAATGAAACTATTCAACAGCAGAACAGATAGTTCCCTGGAGCTATTTAAGCAAAGATGGGAACAGAGTTGCAGTGCTTAAATCTGAATTAAGCAGATCATTTGAATCAAGAGATCTCTAGGGCAGAAAAATTATTTTTGCTCATAACAGCAAAGTAAAAGTTCAGATATTAACTCCCAGCCAATGTTTTCTGACTATCTGAATTTTCCCTGCCTTAGCCATGAAAGCCAATTGGATGCTTTTGGACCAGTCACTCTCCCTCTCTCAGCCCAAGCCACCTCACAGGGTTGTTGTTGTGAGGAAAATAGGAGGAAGAGAAAGATCTGTTGGATATGTTCATCATCTTGAGTTATAAGATGATGTATATTTGCAGAAATACAAATAAAAATAAATATGTTTCTCCTTTTTAAATTGTGCTACTTCTCTATGTCAGTTAAACAATCAAGTGGAAGGACTCTGTGCATGTATGTACATGCAAATTCAATATTTATATCCATTTTAGATCTTGATGGAGATCTATGTTTGTCACCATTACTGCTCACATGTCTGATCTAAAATGTGTGTCAGTAATGGATGTTCGTTTTGCCTGAGTTGTAGATATCACTGTAGAGCTGGTCCTCCTGCTCAGACAAATTTCTCAGGCAAAAGTCCATTTACTAAACCATTTTTTTGATACGACTCCTTTTTTTACCACAACACCCACGAGGGAACTGAAGCAGTCATTTATTTGCAGTTTGTTCCATTGGACTGGAACAAATGTTTGCCAACTCAGTATTATATGCTATATGCTATATATAGTTTTAAGCCATGCCTATCCTTTCAACTTAAAACTTCCCATTGTTTTCAACTCCTAAGAGCTGCTTCAGATGTGACACATTTCCTATAAGAAAAATGCTTGCGTGCAGGAAATAGCATGGAAATAATGCCAACCTTCTGCGGATGAATATTTAATATTTAACCCCTTATGCTAGTAACATTAATATGCATGCCATGGGACAGCAGATTCATAATGATTGCATGGTAGTTAAAAGTATGCATACACTGTTTGTCACTATTTATATCATAAGCGATTAGCATGTTGAGTATAACAGAATCTTTGGTTTGGGTACTAAAAAAATCCTGCAATAAATAAACATCCCTTTAGAACTGTACAAAAGACACACATTGGTAGTGTACAGGTAGTCCTCGACTTACAACAATTTGCTTAGTGACTGTTCAAAGTTACACGGCACTGAAAAAAGTGACTTATGACCATTTTTTGCACTTATGACTATTGCAATATTCCCATGGTTATGTAATTTACATTTGGATGCTTGACAACTGATTCATGACGGTTGCAGTGTCCCAGAGTCATGTGATCCCCTTTTGCAACCTTCTGACGAGCAAAGTCAATGGGGAAACTAGATTTGTTTGTGGTGCTAATTTAACAACTGCAGTGATTCACTTAGCAAATATAAAACCCTAGTAAGATCACATGTGGAATACTGCAGCCATTTTTGGTCACCATATCACAAAAAAGATGTTTATACGTTGGAAAAAGTTCAGAGAAGAGCAATTAAGATGATCAAAGGCCTGGAGACTAAAACATACGAAGAACGGCTGCAGGATATGGGTTTGGCTAGTCTAAAGAAAAGAAGAAATAGGGGAGACATGATAGAAGTATTCCAGTATCTGAGGGGTTGCCACAAAGAAGAGAGGGTCACATTATTCACCAAAGCACCAGAGGGCAGGACAAGAAACAATGGTTGGAAACTGATCAAAGAGAGAAGCAACCTGGAATTAAGGAGAAACTTCCTGACAGTGAGGGCAATGAAACAGTGGAACAGCTTACCTTCAGAAATCATGGGTGCTCCATCACTGGAGATTTTTAAAAAGAGGCTAGACAGACACTTGTCTGAGATGGTATAGGTTCTCCTGCTTGAGCAGGGACTGGACTAGAAGACCTCCAAGGTCCCTTCCAGCTCTATTCTATTCTAAATGTAGCAAGAAAAGTCGTAAAATGGAACAAAACTCACTTAACAAATTTCTTACTTAGCAACATAAATTTGGGGCTTAATTGTGGTTGCAAGCTGAGGACTACCTGTACATGCAGGGACCTTCCAAAAATTCTTGTTCATTTCACACATACACGCAAACATCCTAACTTCCTTCTTTTTTACACATAGCATCCTATGACAATATAATCCCCTCAAAAATTTGTCTGCTGAGGTCAGTGGCTGACAAACAGCAGTATATGGGAAATCCAAAATACAAGGATTTTTTAATTAATCAGAATTGCAGCCTTGAATAAAAAGGCTATCTTATCACTTCAAATGCTGATCATCTAAATGGGATCCTCTGTGAGTGAAGCCAGGATAATTGCCTGTAAAATCTCTGTGTAGGTACAAGATCTCTGTAACTTAAACTGAGATGCTCAGAATGCAGACAGAAGGTCTGTTATCATGAAGCAGACAAATCAATTCCTTTACCTATTGAATTTCCTTTCCCCATCTTAAAAAAATTCTGCCTCTCCATTAAAATATTTTTAATGAGTTTATCTTCTTTAATATAAGCTACTGCTCAATAGCAATTGTGCCACTATGGATTAGAAATTTGACCAGCTATTTTGGCAGCTTTTTAGTATTTGTTGGTTTTGCTTCCCTAAAGAAAATGTTAAATTTCCATAGCTCTGTATCTCACTGCAGATATGGGGGTGCATCTTTGGGTTTGTCATTGATGTTTGCACAATTTCTAGTATTACGTTTACCTAAAAGGCAAATGAAAACGGACTCGAGATAATTTCTCGAAAATTTCCAATCAGTAAAAACTAATTAGTGGCTAAAATTAAGAGATTTCTTGATCGAAGGTTACTGTGTTTTGGTTGTTAGGTAGCTACCCATAAGAAAATAGTAGGATTCATACCACTTTATAAAAGGACCTTTACGATGTACTCTTTGTATGAAACGTTAAAAAATGAAGGAGCTGTCCAGCAAGGCAAAGTTTAGCAGCTGTACTTATTCTACTTCCAGGGTTATCACAGTGCTGGTTTTCCGAAGCTTAGGATAGCAAAGTTGTTTCATTAAAATTGGACATAGCTTCAAAGGGACTGAGTATATTAAAGCCCTGTTCTTTAAAAAGCTAAATATTATGTGTACAACATCTGGAAAAGATGCATTCTCTTTCTTCCAGCAAAACATAATTGTGCGTGCATGCTCATGTGGTCTGAGTATTTCATACACATTGTGAAGCACATCTTCTGAATGCTTAGCAGAACCCTACCAAATTCCATATCTATATCATCTATATTTATATATCTACAATATATCTGTATATCTATAACCCTCTATATATCTAGATCAGGGGTTTTCAACCTTTTCCCCCATTGTACCACTTTTAGGATATGGCAACATCTGAGTACCACCAGTTGCCTAGCAAAGTGTCAAAAACGTGATGACCAAAAAAAAAAAAAAGGAAAAAAGTGATAAAGTACAGGTAGTCCTCGACTTACAAGAGTTCGCTTAATGACTGTTCGAAGTTACAATGGCACTGAAAAAAGTGCCCAAGGCACAGCCGAGCAAGACACCTGCCTGCCCACCTGGCCGCGCTCTTCCTCCTGTCCGAGGTTTCCATTGTTGTGAGCATTTCTGTTGAGGATTGGCAGCGGGGGTGGGGTGGGGGTGTTTGGTTTTTATTCCCCCCGTCTGCTGGGTGGTTGCAGCAGGTTTTGGTCACTTCACATGACCCTGGGACACTGTGACCGTCATAAATATGAATCAGTTGCCAAGAATCTGAATGTAAATCACAAGACCCTGGAGATGCTGCAACATTCCAGCTGATCGGTGCTTCTTCTGGGCTCAGCGGAAGCGCCAGGATCAGTGCTGCTTTCCAATTGATTGGTGCTTCTTCAGGGCTCAGCAGATCCTGATCCTGGCGCTTCCGCTGAGCCCTGACAACCCTGCAGCTCCAGCCATCTCTCGCTCAGGCTTGTGCGGTGCTGCCACCAGTTCAGCTCATTCCCCTCCCCTGCTACCACTTTTCTAGGATGGTCATGTACCACCTGCCAGATGCCAATGTACCACAGGTGGTACCCGTACCACTGGTTGAAA